GTTGACCATTAAGGGCGTTCAGGAGCAAGGTGTGATTGCTACGATTAAGCATCTTATTGGAAACGAGCAGGAGATGTACCGCATGTACAACACGCTCCAGCAGAGCTACAGCTCCAACATTGGTATGTTGACCGCCTGGCTTTGTAGCAGACTCCAGATGCTAACCGGCTTAACAGATGACCGTACACTGCATGAGTTGTACCTTTGGCCGTTTGCAGACGGCATTCGAGAAGGAGTTGGCGCCGTCATGACGGCTTATAACGCGGTATGCAGATAGCAAGTCATTTGTTGGCAACGTCAACTAACAGCACCATAGGTCAACGGATCCGCCTGCAGCCAGAACAGCTATCTGATCAACGGCATCCTGAAAGACGAGCTCGGTTTCCAAGGAACCGTGATGTCTGACTGGCTGGCCCACATGTCCGGAGTCGACTCTGCTCTCGCCGGTCTCGACCTGAACATGCCTGGCGACACCCAGATCCCCCTATTCGGTTACAGCTACTGGATGTACGACCTCACGAGGTCGGTGCTCAACGGATCTGTCCCCATGAGCCGTCTCAACGACATGACCACGAGAATCGTGGCAACCTGGTATCAGATGGGCCAAGACCAGGGCTTCCCCAAGCTCAACTTCGCCACGGGCACCCGCGATCGCGAGGGGCCGCTGTATCCGGGAGCCTGGCCCTTCAGCCCCAGCGGCGTTGTCAACGAGATGGTGCAAGTTCAGGACGACCACTACCTCATTGCTAGGCAGGTTGCTCAGGAGGCCATTACCTTGCTTAAGAACGCGGATAGCCTTCTCCCCATTACAACATCGGCCCCGGTCAAGGTCTTCGGCACTGATGCCCAGACAAACTCTGACGGACCTAATGCCTGTGCCGATAGGAGCTGCAACAAGGGCACGCTCGGTATTGGCTGGGGTTCCGGAACCGTTGACTATGTCTACCTGGACGACCCCATCACTGCGTTCAAGAAGAAAGCCAGCAACGTCACATTCTACAACACCGACAGCTTCCCGTCAGTCCCTACGCCCACCGACAACGATGTCGCATTTGTCTTCATCACTTCCGACTCGGGAGAGAACCAGTACGTCGTCGAAGGCAACAACGGTGACCGGAGCTCATCTGGACTTGACGCCTGGCACAACGGCAACAAGCTCGTCCAGGACGCCGCCGCCAAGTACAAGAACGTCGTCGTGGTGATCCACACCGTCGGTCCAATCGTGGTCGACTCCTGGATCGATCTCCCCAGCGTCAAGTCCGTGCTCGTTGCCCACCTCCCCGGCCAGGAGGCTGGCGAGTCGTTGGCGAACGTCGTCTTCGGCGATGCTTCTCCCTCCGGCCACCTGCCGTACAGCATGACGAGGCAGGAGTCTGACCTTCCCGATTCCGTCACGAAGCTCACCGGCGGCTCGACCGGCCAGCCCCAGGACACGTACACCGAGGGTCTCTACATCGACTACCGCTATCTCAACAAGAACAGCATCAAGCCGCGCTTCGCTTTCGGCCACGGGCTCAGCTACACCAACTTCTCCTTCACCGACGCAAGCATCAGCTCCGTCGGAGCCCTCAGCGCCACCCCTCCCGCGCGCCCTGCAAAGGGTGATGTGCTGGTGTACGACGCCCCCATCCCCGACTGGACCGAGGGCGTCGTCCCCTCCGGCTTCAACAAGATCTTCCGGTACATCTACTCTTGGTGCACCGAGGGCGAGGCGAAGCAGGCCGTCGAGGACGCCAAGACCAAGACGTACCCGTACCCTCCGGGCTACAGCACCACCCAAAAGCCCGGCCCCGCGGCCGGCGGTGCTCAGGGCGGCAACCCTGCGCTGTACGACGTGATGTTCACCGTCTCCGTGAAGGTCACAAACACCGGGTCCAAATACTCGGGCAAGGCCTCGGCGCAGGCGTACGTGCAGTTTCCTAGTGGCGGACCCGAGACCCCGGTGATCCAGCTCAGAGACTTTGAGAAGACCAAGAATTTGGCGCCTGGTGAGAGCACCACGGTGCAGCTGCAGTTGACGAGGAAGGATTTGAGCGTGTGGGATGTGGTCAGCCAGAACTGGGTTATCCCCAACACCCAGGGCAGGTACAAGATTTGGATCGGTGACGCGAGTGACCGCTTGTTTTTGGCGTGTTATACCGACTCCAAGTCGTGCGAGGGAGGTCTCACCAGTCCTGTCTAATGTTTGATTCTTAAAGTGATAATACATTTCCAATCCGTAATTTCTATCCAAAAAGACGGTCTACAATTCGATGTGGTATCCTTCGCTTGCAATAACATACAACTACACGACCTCAACATGAGGATATACAATGGCAATCAATAGAGCCATTCAAGTTCAGGCGAGTCCAATCACTTCGCCGGCTTTGAGGCCGTCGAGAATGTCCTTGGGTAGCGGATCCTTCTTACGGAAGGCATGCTGCTTGCGCTCCGCCGACGACCAACCGGTGATGTCGAGAGCGTCGCCGCCAATCTTGCCACGGTGGGCCTTATAATCTTTCAGGGCAGCCTTGAAGCCCCAAGGGTCTTCACCGTCCTTCTCCGTGGGCAGGTCAACATCTTCGTCGACATCGTCGAGAAGGGTCTTGAGCGCCTTAACGCCGCCAAACTTGATGTTGTACTTCGCGGCATAGGCGGCGACGTAGCTGTCGAAGTGGGAGGGCACATAGACGAAGGGGCGCGCCTTTGACTTGCGGGTCTTGTCATCGTCTTCCAGAAGAGAGTAGCCGCGGAAAGCCTGGGCACACTTGATGAAGCCGGCCATGACCATACCAAGGTCGCGGACCTCGGAGTCTGGCTTCATAAAACCCATGCGCTCGAGACGGGCGAGCATGTAGAGGAAGAGAGTGCCAATGAGCTTGGCTGTCAGGCTGGCGAAGTCGCCGTCATCACACCTGTTATGACATTAGTACCGTGTATATGACATTGGTTGAGAATGAAACTCACATCGCGAAGTCGTCCCCAGAGAGATACCAGATGAACGGAGACAGAGCCTCGCAGATGACCCACTGCTCCTTCCAGTTCGCGCTGGCCTCATCGAAATCAAGAACGAGGTTCTGAATGATCTCGATAATGCCGTAGGCACGGTGGTCGTTGTAGGTGTACATGCCGAAGAAGTCCGGGTCGCGGACCTGGACGTTGGGCTGCTGGTTCATGAGCTTGTAGTAGCCGGCGCGCATGATGACATAGGGAGCGTCAGGGTGGTCCGCGGCGGGCTTCTCGCAGAGACAAGTCTTGCCGAGGTCGCACTTAGGCTTGGGCCCTTCGCCCTCTTCCTCGTCTTCATCCTCGTCCTCCTCGTCTTCGTCCTCCCACTCATCTTCTTCCTCCTCCTCACCACCAAGGTTACGCTTAGTGCCCCATGGACATCTGCAGATGAATTCGAAAGCCTTCTTGGCGTCCGCCATCTTCTCCTTGTAGTCGCGGTCTGAATTGCGCGTGTTGGAGACTCTGGTGAAGCGGCTCTTGGCGGCCCAACGAGGAGGCTCGCTCTCCGAAGGGGAAGACGCAGACGCCTCCGGAGTCGTCTTGGTCTTCTTTGAGGAGTCCGAGACGTCGCTCGCGTCTGAACGTCTCTTGGGCGGCATGTTGGATAAGAATAATGGTATAAGTCAATGGGCAAGGATAGGTTGTCAAGGACAGAGACAAAAACCGTTCAACGTCGGAAGAAGGAAAGCTGGAGATTAAAAGGCGTTGGGAGCTCCTCTTGTCTGAAGCAGTTGGGTAGCCACCGTCGTCACCCCTAAAGTCAAATGTAGATAGCACCCCACGACCCTTAATTGCTTTTTCGACGCGAATCAACGCGTCGAGCTATCCTTGACGAAATGTTTTTTCGAGCCGTGGACCCTGGATCCCCGACCGCGTCTGATCATGTGATGCGAGCACGTCCAGAGTGTTCTAGATATTCCTCGAGAAATCAATTGATGATCATGGTCAAGGGTATCGAAGTTTAAAGATGGGTTGGAAATTATTGATAGCCGTTGTCCGTTTTGGGAACACTGCTGTGAGCCATCCGCACGTCGCTTATGTCTAGGCCCTGGTAGGGCTGCATAAGCCGGCCTCTTTCTCGGGCCCAGCTACCGACAGAAGATGGGGGAAACAACATTCGAGTCCTCTGGAACATGCAGTAAGACGTTGATGACCACAAAGAGCACGGGCGTGCATGTGCTTTTGATACTCGCGGGCGATTGGCGTACAGTCGTTGGACGAGTCGCCCTATAACTCTGCGTTGGAGCGAATACTTTTCCTGTGTGGTCGCTGTAGTCGTCGCCTCAAGCGCCTCTATCGTTATTACAATCGGTTCTATTAACATCATTTCAGTCGTCTCTACTTAGTGACTTACTGTCGTCCTTAACCAAAGCCAAACTTCAATCAAGTACCCAGAAGAGATCGCCGCGCAGACATTGGAAAATTATATGGCCTCTTGTGGACGGCTGAAACATGTTGTCGTTCATTCTGCCCTCTTACTCTGTTCGGTCGGGTGTTTGCGTTCCAGACATAGGGCTCCTCAAATAGAAGCGGCAAAGCTGTGCTGCTCTAGAGACTTAGTAGACAATCAAGTCTCAAGGCTGCCTTATCTGACGTTGCGCGCCTCAATCTCAACGTGCATCTTCTCAATGTACTGAGGACCGAGTGCCCGATAACCGCTGGTTGAGACTCTGGTTTGATCAACACTGATCCGGAGGACCTCAGCTAACATGAAGGCGGGAACCAATCGCCAGTGTACAGCAAGCTTGTGGGGATGGTTGTTGTACATTGAATTCATATTGATACATATTGAATACTTCCCGCTTTTCGAGAAGTTTCGACTCTATATCTTCTTGAGTCGTAATAGTCGCCCTTTCAGCATTCAACACCGCGCGGATGTGCTGCATGCGTGGCTCAAATTCCACCAAGCAAACGACGTGGTGTTCTCAATGCTGATTCTCCAGCATGCATTGGCGTCCTGATTTCCTCGCTTTATCGGTCACAGTCGCAAGACTTCCAAGTGGCGCACGGTCTTAGCAACCCAGCTTCTTGCGTCCCTTCGCCCTCCTCCGTGCAATGATCTTGCGGCCGTCCTTCGTCTTCATGCGAGAAAGAAATCCGTGTCTTCGCTTCTGGATCAATCGCGTGTTTCGGTTCATGGTGTTACGCGGGCCGAAGCAGAGCTGCATGGAGGCCAGGGCAGGATGTTGCGTGACGGCACTGGTGGGGACGACATCGACGACATTTGCTGTTGAAGGGGCAAAGGGCGTGATCGCTGGCCGGCGGAAGGCAGATGTGAGAGGAGTAATTGAAGGACGGAGGGAGGGGAGTGAGGTGAACGTCCTGAAGGGGCATCCAGTCAGCCTTGTCGCTTCTTTGGAGGGGATTCGGCATATCTCGATCGTCACCTTTGGGAGACAGTCTGCGCCACACGGGCAGGCTGGACAGTCGGGCGGAAGAGGGAGACCCTCGCCAGGCTTGTGACAGACTGGCGCATCATTTTGGCAGCGTTTGTGCTTTCTCTGTGCTGTTGGCGTAGGTCTCGCACGTCTCGATATCGGCCTCGGCAAGCTGCTTGAGATTTTGCGGCCGACTTTCTTGCGATTGACGGGAGTTGCCGCCATTCATGCACCTAAAGGGGCTCTGTCCATAAACGGGGCGGAACGCTGCGTTCGCCGGGTGTTTCAGCCAGTCAACGTAGAAAGAACCTGGAGAATTTAGAGCGAATCATGACCCCTGCCGACTCCCGCAAGCTCCGAACTTCAGCTTGTGCGGCCCCCACTTGGGCTGTCTGGGGGCCAAGCTCACTGTGGACAGCTTGCCTGCTGCTGACCGGGTTGATTGCCTTGCGACACGGCCGGAGCCTGTCCCTCTTTCCTCAAACCAACACCTCCATTTCCTGTCCCTCCTTTGCCATATTTTCAACAGCAAGGACGGAGGCAGCAAGATGGATTTCCTCCAGCGCCTCGCCCGGTTCTTGGACCGCCCATTATTCCCATGGAAGCGTCTCATTCTCGGCTTCTCGGTCGGCCAGTTCGTCTTCGAGAGCCTGCTCTCGTTGCGCCAGTACCAAGTCCTCAAGAAGACAAAGCCCCCCAAGGTCCTCGAACAAGAAATTTCACAGGAAACTTTCGACAAGTCTCAGGCCTACGGTCGCGCTAAAGCTCAATTCGAATTCGTCAACGGTCTCTGGGGTCAGATCCAGAATATTGCTTTTATCCAATACGATGTCCTCCCCAAGCTGTGGTCTTGGACCGGTAACCTGCTGCTCAAGTTCGCGCCGGCGCGCTTCACCGGCGAGATATCGCACTCCATCGTCTTCGTCCTGGCCTTCATCATCATCCAGCAGATCCTCTCGCTTCCCAGCTCGGTATACCAGACCTTCGTCTTGGAGGAAAAGTTCGGTTTCAACAAGCAGACGCCCAAGCTGTTCATCACCGACATGATCAAGTCCCAGCTGCTCGCCTTTGTCATCGCCCCCCCGATTCTCGCCGGTTTCCTCTCCATTGTCAAGAAGACTGGTAACCAATTCTTCTTTTACCTCTGGTTATTCGCCGCTGGCCTTCAGGTCTTCATGATCACCATCTACCCGATCGCTATCCTGCCTCTGTTCAATAAGCTGTCGCCTTTGGAAGAGGGCGAGCTGAAGACCGGTGTCGAGAGTCTCGCCAAGAGCCTGAACTTCCCCCTGCACGAGCTTTACGTCATTGACGGAAGCAAGCGCAGCGCCCACAGCAACGCCTACTTCTTTGGTCTTCCCTGGAAGAAGCACATTGTCATCTACGACACCCTCATCGAGAAGAGCGAGACGCAGGAGGTCGTGGCTGTTTTGGCTCACGAGCTGGGTCACTGGAGCCTGGGTCACACCACCCGTCTCTTTGGCATCTCCCAGGTATGACTTTAAAGCCGACGAGCATGTTTTCAGCAACTAATTTACTCCAGGTCCACTTCTTGTACATCTTCACTCTGTTCTCAGTTTTCATCAGCAACAACTCTCTGTACGCCGACTTTGGCTTCCTCAAGGAGCACCCCATCATTATCGGTTTCATCCTCTTCTCTGATGCGCTCTCGCCCATGGACACTGTTGTTAAGCTCTTGATGAACATCCTGAGCCGCAAGTACGAGTTCCAGGCTGATGCCTTTGCTCAGAAGCTTGGCTACTCCGTTGAGCTGGCTAAGTCCCTGCTCAAGCTGCAGATTCAGAACCTCAGCACCATGGATGCTGACTGGGTCTACGCCACGTACCACTTCTCTCACCCTCACCTCTCCGAGCGTCTCAAGGCACTCAACTGGAAGTCCACGGGCAAGGTCACCAAGGACGAGCCCACCGTCGGAACGACCACTGGAAGAGATGAGTTGTAGGCGGCTTTGGAACATTAGATCAAAGAGGCATCATGCCAAACCATGCTGGAGCGAAAACTCCACCAAATATCATGTAGAATAACTATACTACCTACCCACTTTGCGCAAGTGGTTTTAGCCTCCATCAAGGAGGAAAGTAGTTATATCATGACGCTTATCAAAGTTCCATCCTTTTTTCCCCAAACTACACCAACGTGAAATCAACGTCCATCGCGGTCAACGCCTAGGGGCCCTCATATTGGCCATGACCCTTGCAAGCAACTCTTCCCTCGTGTCTGAATCCCCAGGAAATAGGTTTCGCTACCGACATGTCAGCATGAAGGTGGGCGATCGGAGGTGAGAAGTTCTCGTACTGCTGCTAGCCATCTTCTCATCTCTTCCCTCGTCCAATTTTCGGGGTTGCCAGTCGGATCGGAGCCTGCTGGAAACATGTCCCCGCCGTAGATGGCCCATACAGCAACAGCCGTGACTAAGCCTCCGAATGCTTCGTTATTTGTCAGTTAAGAGTTCTGATCATACATATTTCAGGTACAACTAACCGAGTACTGCATTCTGTGAAATGTTAGCCAACACAGGCACACGATTAGGCCCATGAGACTCACCTTTGACTTCATAGCATTGTCGAGTGGGGTGGGCATTTTGGGAACTAGGTGTGGCGGTGCGTTTGCTGGTTAAACTGAAAGAACCTCAGGCTTGTTGCAAGATTTACTCTGGCTAGACTTATACGAGAAAAAAAAAAAAAAAACACGTATATATATACTAATAGCAACGTGTTAGCAAGCCGAATTGAGTTGAAGCGTCGTCAACTCGTGCCAAGGTACAGGCCGAGTATGTCTGGGCGAACAGCTCCAGGTGACGCGTCAAGCCACAGTGACGTTGGACCACCACCCGCTGCTGCCTGTGGCGGCCAGGCCAGTCGGGCCCCACGCAGAGCCCGTCGGCACGATCGGTGCACATCTCCCGACGTAGTCGCAGAATGGAAATGCTCCAGAAGGGGAGGCAGAAGGACAAGACAGACTACAGTGGCCCGTGCACCCGCCTGGCAGCTCGCGCGGTTCGGCGCCAGGGGTCCATCCCACAAAATCAAATTCACACCAAAAAACCACCCACGAAAGTGTTCCACGACAAAACCACCCATCGACCAGACAAGTAGACCCCCTCGTTGTCGCCAAAAACCCCCATCAATACCGCCAAGATGCCTCAAGAGATCGGTGATATCAAGAAGGTTCGTACGGTCAACGTCGTTATGCCGGGCAATTCCCAAGCATTTTTCCAGGGGAAATTTTGACTAACAATTCGTCTTTTGCAGTTCATTGAGATTGCCCGCAGGAAGGACGCCTCTTGTATGCATTTTCCCACTCCCTCCACTCACCACCACCGCCCGCGAACCGACGAGAACGAGTTTTGAAAGATGGCGGCAACTTCAGTTCCATGATTGTGAGAAGAAAAAGGGGAATTGAGATTTCTAACGAATTGAAAAATATAGCCGCGCGCATCAAGCGTAACCGCAAGAGCTCCCAGATCAAGTTCAAGGTCCGCTGCCAGCGTCACCTCTACACCCTTGTCCTCAAGGACAACGACAAGGCCGAGAAGCTCAAGCAGTCCCTCCCTCCTCGTACGTCTTTCCCGTCGCATACTTCCACCCGGCTTCCCAAACTCGGGCGTTGTTGCGTTTCCCCCCTTGCAAACCGGGATCGAAGAGGACGAACTACAACTACCATTGTAAGAACGCAAGCTAACCGCGAATCCCCCTCATATAGAGCTCCAGATCAAGGACGTTCCCAAGAAGAACCCCAAGGGCGGCAAGGCCTCCGCATAAGCGAGTCGAACACGCCGAATAACTTGACACAAAAAAAGGGAATTAAAAATGTCTTCGATGGGGCGGAGTTGCTAGAACTTTGTCAGTTAGCCTGACATTGAGGTCCAATGGAATGATTTGTCCCCCTCCGGTTTTCGCATGAATACAACACTGGGTCCGGTCGGTCTGGGAACGAGGCGGTTTCTTGTCCTTTTTTGTTTGTCTTCATGTCCCGAAAGAGACCATGACGAGGTGAAAAAGGAAGCTAGAACCGTAGCATCAAAACGATATGGCGTCGAGGGATTACCTAGGCAATTGCAATGATGGATGGATTGTCTCCTGTCTACTAGCAGACATTTGTCCAATGAAGAAAAGCAACCATTGAACACACCAAAAAGGCGCAAGACGGGGATGATTTCATGTGCTGATGGGCTCTCTCCCTCTCCATGTTGTGTGTCGCGCACGCCTGGCCCTCTTTTGACGCCATTGATCCTGCCAATCCTCGCCCATCTATCCCAGGAACAGGCAATGGCCTCTCGTCTCGCCGAACTGAGCCCGTTTACTTCCGCGGTCGAAACGGGCATACCGAGGGAGACCGTCTCTACATGATCCTCTTGTAGTGCCAGATGTCCGTCCCTGTCACAAACTCCTGAATGCCTGCCCACTCCTTGAACCCTTCGTGCTGCGCGATTGCCTTATGCTGCTCGACCGATGACCAGCCGCAGTACATGACGAACTCCTCCGTGCCGTCCACCGCCCGCTCGATTCGCCAACCGCCGCGCACGGGGTACGGCTTCGAGGCATCCTCGACCACCCACTTCGCTTCGGCGTACTTCTTGACGAACTCCTCCTTGCGCTCAGGCCGGACGCCGAAGCGCCCGACGCTGACCACCGGCGCCGTCAACAAGTTAGGCGGCTCGTCTTCGGCCTTCTTCTTGCCCTCTGCCTTGTTTTCCGCTTCTGCCGGCGCTTCCGGCTCCTTGTCCTTCGATCCCGCTTCTGCCGACTCAGCGGCAGCAGCCGCTTCATCACCCCCCGTCTTTGCCTCGCCATCCGCCGCTGCCGGTGTGCTCTGCCCCGGGACGAATATGGGCGCATCGATGTGGAAGAAAAGCACTGCCCGCGGACCCTCGCGGTGGATGAGCGGCGTCAGCTTCCCCATGACGTTTTGGTTTTCGGGCGACACGATCCACTCGTGGTGCGCCTCGGGAGAATCCCATTGTGCGGCCAGCAGCAGCACGCTCGGGTCCTCGACCTGCTGGAGGATGGCAGTGCCGCGTTCCACGCGCTTCGGTGGCAGACCAGGTTTCTGGCGGAGGACCCAGGTGTCCTGGACCGTCTGGCAGTAGTCGAGGAGCTCCTTGGTCTCCTCGTTCGGGAGCTCCTTGAACTGGAGGAGGGCGAGCTCTGTGACGGCCATCTTGGCAGAATGTTTGTCGGATGGGTGTTGGGGCAGGCGATCGAGAATTTGCAGAAATTGATGTCCTATGAGCTGCGAATCTGAGGAATGGGAGAGCGTTATCTGGGGCTCTCGGCGGGGGCTTAGGATGGTGAGCTTGCTCTCGCTCGCGCGCGGGGTTCGGTGCGGGCCGGGAATACTGGGGTGTGAGCTTGAGTCCGGTTGGCTGGTGACTGGGATCGCTCGTCTACGACCTGAACTTGGGGCAGAGAGAATTGCGACCCTCAGTTGGAGTTTGAATTCTGCTTTGTTGACTTGGAGCTTGAAGGCGGATATTCCGAGGGATTCCGGTTGCAAGTTCACAGGTCCAGCTCAGCGGGGCAGTAAGGCTGCAGTCTCGACGTCGTTAAGCCGGAGGTCTGGGTGTGACGTTGACCACAAACAAGCGCTGCGGCACAGACCGAGCCCAAGGTGAAGTACCATGGTAGGGCGGTGCTAATAAGCTCTGTTGTCTGACAGCCCGGACTTCGAGTCGCATAGTGCCTGCCTCCCCCTCTGAAGAAGACACCAGCCAAAGCTCAGGGAAGACTTGGATGGACTCGGATAGTGGCTGCAACCGGTCGTCCCCGCACCGCTTTGCAATGTCCCTGATTTGCTGCCTCGTTTTTGTCGATAAACTTCTGTCCAGCCTGCGAGACATAACTAAGTTCAGCTCGACCGCCCGTCAACCGTCGGCATGTTTTGGTTACCCACGATGGACGGAGATGAAAGCCGTCTAGCGCTAAGCCGCAACGACGCCGTCGTGTTCGGGCGCCGCAGGTACAGGAGCAGAGGGGCTTGTGGGTAAGGCGATATTCATGATGCTCGGGGCCTTCATGTTCTCCTGCTGGGTGCCGCTGGGTCAACTGTTCAGTCCACAACCGAAATCGCCCGGTTTCCAAGGCCGGTTACATTGAGATTTGATTGCCCTCAAAAGCGAACATATATGTAACCTTGACTAAGAGACCCGTCGGTTTGGAACTCGGGGTTGAGCTCGGGGTAGCTTTCCCGATGACCGGTTCCAAAGTGTCGTTCGCAGTCTGCACACATTGACAACGCTGGACGGTTGCTTTCTAACGTCGCTGCCCCTGCCAAGTATTTGCTTGGTCCCGATGATCAACGACAAATCGTCTGCCCAGACGACAAGGAGAAGAGTGCCGATTGTGTGACCCGCTATGCGCTGGGCGACCTGCGCCTCACTCGCCGAGCTGAGATTTGGGAGCGACATGCTATCGATAAGGCAATCTCCGTATGCTCCGCGCTGTACGGCAGGGGGATAAGCCGCCTGGGGCATAAGCCGCCTGCAGATAAGTTTCTCATCACCCCAGATGGTGGTTCACGGCGCTCAAGTGCATAGCTGTGTCTCCACGAGCGACTTGGGCTCATGAAATCAAACAAGTCCTTCGGTGTGAACAGTCAGAGATGATACGCAGTAGACAATGGTTCTATTCTCTTTTCGAGACTCGGAGCTGCCAGATGAGGTCATAGAAATCTTCTAGTCCAGTCTTGACTCGAGAGACAAGTTGGAGACATCAGGGCTCATGTGACGACTTGGTATTAGTTAGGCGGCCATTCCTCTGGAAACCTAGCCGCTTCACCGCCTCGAACCAGCAAGAGTCAGGAGTGCAGCCTGTAACCCAACCGCAAGAGAGAATTCGTGATGCAAGGTGCCATCAGCGGCGGAGGTGCAGCCGCCTTGCTCGGTGTCTGCATGCTGAATCCGCTGTCGAGGGCGGGAGCAGGCAGCTATCGCATCGGACTGCCCAATATTTGACCAGCAAACCGCCAGACGGAACCAGGCGACCCAACTTATCAGGCGGGTAGCAGTTGGGGGTACACGGCGAGCCAGTAACACACAGCCCTTCCCGTGTTGAGGCTCAGACGAAACGACGCTCGGTCGCACCGATGGCGAAATGTCGTTGATGATCGAAAGTCATGATCGGACGGATGTGTCAGGTTGCTGGCGTGCGCAGCGCAAGGTATCTAGACTGCTGGGTACTCGTGCCGTAGCTCATCGTAAAGCATGGAGTTCTGCCGTAGAACAGCTTTCCAGCCGAGGTTTGGTCACCGTTTTGTCCGTCCACTGCGTTGGTTGGATGTAGCTTCCCTCGCCCATTGGTCATCGCGACTCGCTTTTCGATAAAGCAAACAATTGGATCATGTTTGCTGTGGGTTGGGCGGCAGAAGCGGTAGCAGGAAGCCGGTCAGCATCTTATC